TTTTTATGGGTCAAATAGACTCAAAAAATTGTAACAGCAGCTGTGCAGGGGGGGTGAGGGGGGCAAAATAATTCTTTTCTCAGGGGGCCCAAGATTCCTGGCGATGCCCCTGGTTTACAGTTTAACTGATACTGAGGTTATCTCGTATCTCATATGAACAAAGATAACTTTTATATCTTTTGTTTGCTTGAATTCACTAAGTTAACATTTATATGGGTTTTTCCACAGACGTTAACGTAAAGTTGCTCCTGTTTTTGTTCAGTTAATGACTGTTATTTTTTCATGCAGAGGAAACAAATGTAACCGAGACATATTTGTACTAGTTGTTGTTTTTTTACAGTTTTACATTGAGTCTTAAGTAAAGCTTTGAAGGGAATCGTGCAGCTTTTCTGGACGATAATTTATCTGCAGACCTTGCCTACACATACAAGCAGGGGCAGAATAAGGAGAATAAGGATGAGCTGCGTCTCGAAGGCGGTGTCGGGTCCTAACAGACGATTTGCACAGCTGAATTGTTGCCACAGGAGATAACAGCATTTCTCAAACATGCATGAAAGAATCAAAACTCCAGGTATGTTTTTGATGAGGGAATAATATTATTACATGAAGAAAAGTTGTTTTTGCATAATAAAATGTACACTTTTAGATAATACAGGAGATCTTACCCAAGTGTGTCCACGTGTCCATCAACCCAGGTCCAGGTGTTGTTAGTTTGTTGCAACCCCAGCCAGTATCCCCACTGAATATCAAAGTAGGATTTGACATGTTTGCTGACAAATTCCTGTCAACAGATTTTTGTTTTTTACATCAGCATTAATTTCCTTACTTTGAGTGCCCGTTTTTCCAGAAACTTCCAGATTAGCTCTAGGCTTCTAGCATAGGTGGCGTCAGATTTTACCTGTTCCTCCAGATCATCAATTACAACCAAATCTGCTCGTCTGTCCTGACAGAACCTTCGACTTTGTTCCCAGGTCTTCCAAGGAGCCGGTTCGTCGTAAAACAGGTAGCATTTCTTCTGAAAGAAGATCCAGTCATGCAGGCACGGCTTACATCCTGGATCCATTAGACGATGGAAAAGATCAGAAAGTGAAACTTTGGTAAAAATAATCTGAAGTATACAAAATAACATTTAATGTGTTAATAATATTTAATGTTTCAATAGTCAAAATTGCTCTAGCAAAGATGTCAAAGGTAGAGCGCAGACCAGTATTGGAAGACGATTAAGTTAAGCTACTGTTCTATTTAGGAGTGCCGTACCACAGGGCTTTATGCTCGGCTCACTCAAAAACTGTTTATAATTGAAGGTTACATAAAAAAAAATAAATAAAAATGAGATAAATAATCCAAATTTTCAAAGGTAATCTATAAATGTAATCACCTTTGGCAGGACAGAAGTCATTAATTGGAAAGATGTCAAATTTCTGGATGAATCCCAGGGTCAATTTCAGCTCCTCTGCCTCTCGGGTCGCCTCCTCTG